TAACACCAAGGTCCAGGGTTCCATCCCTGTACTGCCGGCCAGCAGCAAAATAAAAAGAAAGAAAGAAATGAAAAGAAAAGAAAAAGAAAATGAAAAGATTAATGTCCACATCCCCCTTTTCCCAGGGACCAAAGGAATGCCTAAAAACAGAGCCACCTGATAAAAAAGTAGAACAAACTCAAAGTCGGGTTCTCCAGGTTGTTTTGGTTCTGTCTCCAGGTGCTGCATCCAATTTCTTTGCAAATTTAACCCTTCCTGAGCAGCTGCTCAACGGCAGAAAGGAATTAAACCGAGTCATCACAAACCCGCTGGATTCGAATCCACTGGTAAAGTGCTTGGAACGGCTCAGAAAAGTAACCAATTTCCAGAGATACTCCTAAACTCGCGGGGGCTGGGCTATGTACCCCGGAACCAAGCCCCGGTCCCCGAGGACACGGCCTGCAACTTCCTTCCGCGCTCCAGCCCATGACAGGCGGGACAGGGAGGTCTCGCGGCTCCCAAGCCCAACGCTACGCCCCCCACCCGACCCCGACGACAGACCTGTGCTCTCCTGGCACACAGGAGAAGGGGCGCGGCTCCCCGCAGCCCCGCGCTCCCGCCGCCGACCCGCCCCAAGGGCCCGCTGCAGGAGGCCGACCGCGAGACTGCCGCCCTGGGGCCTCGGAGTGCGGCTGTCGCCCACAACGCCGTCCTCTTCCCACCGAGCCGCAATCCGGCCGCCCACGGGCCGCCCAAGGTCAGAAACAGCATCCCGCGCGTGAGAGGTGCCGGAGGACCGACAAGCGGCCTGAGCCCGGCGGCCAGACTCGGCTCCTCACGCTGCAGCGGCCAGACCGGCAGCGCACGCCCCGCCTCCTACAGGATCGCCGGGCCGATTGGCCGCATGCGCGTGCGCAGAATAAGGGGTCGGACTGCAACCTTCCGCTCCACGGGCGTTCTCCGCGGGATGATCTCCGAGGCCGAAGCACTCTTCCCGGCTGGGGAGATCTGCAAACGCCCAGCCTGTGCGCGCCTCCCTCTTCCTGAAGTTTGGCCCACTTTATGACAGTGTGGAAGAACAGAGGGGGAGAGCGGTGCGAGAAGCATAAAGCCTGGAAGCCAAGGTTAAATCCTTCATTCTGTGCGCCCTAAAAAATTTCCTTTGAGAAAATGATTCTAGCCTGTTGGCACAGAAGGAATTATACTTTACACGACCTGAGTCTGGCTGGTTAGCTCACTTGGGAGAGCTTGGTGCTGGTAACCCCAAGGTGACGGGCTCAGATTCCGGTACCAGCCGAGCGGGGGGGAAAAAAAACCCTTTACATGATTTGAACAAAAATTAATGGTAATTTAATTCAACCATTGGGTTAGTAGAAAAATGGATCTGGTGTCATATGATAGTGATACTTGTTACCAAATTTATCTTCCGAAATCATTCACATCCGTGTATACATTTCTTTTTTTTTTTTTAAATGATGACTGGTAAGGGGATCTTAACCCTTGACTTGGTGCTGTCAGCACCACGCACTCCCAAGTGAGCTAACCGGCCATCCCTATGTAGGGATCCAAACCCTTGGCTTTGGTGTTATCAGCACCACACTCTCCCAAGTGAGCCACAGGCCACCCCATATATACATTAATTAGTTCACTCCTTGGTAAAGAAGTATTGGGGGCCTATTGCCAGGACTAAGTTATGTGCAGAGGATACAAAGGTACTGGATAAAATCAGGAACTCATGGTTCTGACACCGTGGAGGAAACACCTAAAAATAAGCTAGAATATGATGTTGTAATATTGAGATATACTAATATACAAAATGCTACAGAAGTCCAAAGAGCATGATTAATTTAGCTTCAGAATGTCTTCAGACCCACTTCACATTCAGCTGAGTCTTGAAGAACAAGCATCTCACTAGTAGAGAGACACTTTTGTTTTTGTTTTTTTTTAAAAAAGATGACCGGTGAGGGGATCTTAACCCTTGACTTGATGTTGTCAGCACCATGCTCAGCCAGTGAGCTAACCGGCCATCCCTATATGGGATCCGAACCCGTGGCCTTGGTGTTATCAGCACCACACTCTCCCGAGTGAGCCACGGGCCGGCCCGAGAGACACTTTTGTTTACCGCCATTTTAGAACTATGACTTTTTTAAATTTGGCATGTTATTTGTATAGGAGAGTGTATTAGTCAGGTTTCTCCAGAGACAGAAGCAATAGGATATGTATATAGACATACAGAGGGGATTTATTAGGGGAATTGGTTCATGTGATTTATTAAGGCTGAGAAGTCCCAAAATAGGCTGTCTGCAAACTGGAGACCCTGGGATGCCGGTAGCATGGCTCAGTCCAATCCCAAGACCTCAGACCAGGGAAGCTGATGATATAGTTCTTAGCACAAGGCCAAAGGCCTGAGAGCCCAGGAGTGCTGCCTGGTAAATCCTGGAACCCAAAGGCTGAAGAGCATGGAGTTCTGATGTCCACAGACAGGAGAGAAGAGTATATCCCAGCTCCAGAGGATAGTGAAAGATACTCGTCTTTCCCTCTGTTTTGGTTCTCTTCAGCTCCCCAGTAGATTGGATGGTTCCTGCCCATACTGAGGGTAGATCTTCCCCACCTAATCCACTCAGGCTCACATGCTAATCTCCTCAGGAAACACTTTTACAGACACACCCAAAAATACCAGGTTTCTAGGTATTCCTTAACCTAGTCAAACTGACACCTAAAATTGATCGTAACAGAGAGGAACAAATGTATAGTCTAAAATAATATGATCACCTCCGAATACTCTCTATATTGGCGGTGGGGGGGATCTCCACTAGGACAAAATGATACTTGTTTATGTATAACTTTTTTTTTGGTAGCTGGCCGGTACAGGGATTGAACCCTAGACCTTGGGTGGTGTTATCAGCACCAAGTTCTAACCAACTGAGCTAACCAGCCAGCCCTGAATAACTTTATTTTCTTAAAGTTATCTTCTACTTACATTTTTAAAACTCAGTTTAGTGTAAGTCATACCAGAAACATCTTTTATCCATTATTTTACTGATATATATAGTATTTAAATTTTTCTTTTCATATAAAGAATGTTTATATTTAATGTATTCAGAGAACCTGAATTTTCTTATTTTCTGTCAAGCTTAGTTTCTGCTTACACATACTGTGAAGAGATGAAAATAATAACATTTGTTTGGTCTACTTCTTAAGGTTTCTAAATAGCTAAAATGAGATCATATTCTGAAAACTGTGCAAAATTACATGGAATATAGTTAGATTTTCCAATTCTGGTAATTTGGAGACATTTGTTGAATATAAACTACTTGAATGAGATTTTAGAGTGATTCTAAGGCTGTTTTTAAAAAAGAACCCTTGATTTCCATTCATATCATCTGAGAGGTTCCATTTGAAGATGGAAGCTGATGGTAAAAATAAAAATGAATATTACTTTTAGAAGGCATGACCACCGGGGCCGGCCTGTGGCTCACTCGGGAGAGTGCGGTGCTAATAACACCAAGGCCACGGGTTCGGATCCCATATAGGGATGGCCGGTTAGCTCACTGGGTGAGCGTGGTGCTGACAACACCAAGTCAAGGGTTAAGATCCTCTTACCAGTCATCTTTAAAAAAAAAAAAAAAGGCATGACCACCACTATTGTGAGAAATGTTTGTTTCCCTCCTGAACTAAAGGAGGAAAGGAAACAATTAAGTTGAAAATAGGCCCACAGCCTCCCCTTTTGGACCCTAATGCCTCTCCTTCCTAAACACTATTTTGAACTACCACTACAGCCAAAAAAAACTTTGTTTTATGATTTCTGCAAAGGCTTTGAAAAGTTAATCCAGGACAGTCTATTCTGTTCTTGCAATTAATTCTAAAAAAGCAGTACCTTTTACCTGTCAAATCAACTGAAAAAGTCTTTCAGGCAAAAATCATTATTTCAACAAATTCTGTATTTTGCTTTTGTGGACATTGTCCCACCATAGTGCTTAGTTGAGCAACTTGCAATCATAAATGTCTTGGCCCTACATTCCCTTCATGCCACACTGCCGGAAAAAAGCAGAGGGTGAACTTTATTTAGCTGTTTCAGCATTCCTGGAAAGGTGCCTGAATATCTAACAAGCTAGTAAAAAGGATAGGCTGATAGAGGGAGGAGGAGGGGCAGTGAAGGGGGGCGTGGAGTGAGAAAGATGGTCCCAGAATTGAGTAATGGTGGCGGGCGCCTGGATTTTCTGTGAGTGAGCTCAGAATGGAGGAGACCTGAGCAAACCCGGGGCAGGGGACAGTCCCCCAGGGTGGGGGTGGACACGGTTAGTTTCCTGTAAATATTCAACGATACCGGGAAGAGAGGAAATGAGGCCAGCCGATTGCGCGAGCCGCTGAGATGCTCCTCAACCTGCACTGCAATTTTTCACAAAGTACACATACCGCTTCATAAAAAGTACGTTCTTGTTAGCACAGAAACTGCACTCCCACGTTTCAGTCTTTGCTCTGCAGTCTCCCACCTCCACGAGTACCCTCAAATGAGAGACAGCGACAAACTCTGAAACCACCAAAATCTTACCACGCAGCGCAAGAAACTACAAGTCCCAGGATGCAGTGCTGCCTAGAACCAAATACCGACTAGCCGCCGGAGAAACTACAAATCCCAGGATGCAGTGCTGCCTCGGACCCCTGAGCGCTTCTCTGAGGATGCTATCCCTGCAGAAAGTGGATCAGGGTCGGGGCTATATGCTGGGAATCCGGAAGAACTACATTCGGATTGGTAGAGATTTGCCAGCGCCCGCTCTTAGGCTGGGGCCTGTGTTACTGTGGGGAGGGGAAGGGAAGGGGACATACGCACTTCCTCCAGACGGAAGTGGACAACACACTCTGCGTCTCCGCCTCACCAGATACTAATCTCCCGCGCGTCGCAGAAAAGGGCTGTGACCCGACGGAAGTAGTTCCTCCGACTGCCCCGGAACCCACGGGCAGGCAGCTGGGGGTGGGGGGGGCCGCCCTGGAGTAGGGGCTGTGGCGGTACGCGGGGACCCGGCTGCGGTGGCTGCGGTGGCTGCGGGGCTGACGAGTGAGTCTCAGGCTGGGGCGGGAACGGAGATCCGTGTACGCGCGGAGAACGAGGGTGGCTAGGACTGAGCGCGCTCGCAGTCCCACTTCCCACCCCTTCCCATCTGGGCGGGGAAGGAGCGGAAGCTCTTAACCTCCCAGGGCCTCCGCAGCTTCTGGTTTGGGGGAGGGGAGAAGAGGGCGGCCGGACCTTTCCTGGCGCCGCTCGGTGGGCTTGGAAAGAGGTGGAAGGAGGGGCGGCAGCCGGCGAGACTGGGCCTTCCCTGGGTTGGGTGCGGGGAGGGTGGAGTTAGGAGCATGGCAGCCCTGTCGCTTTTCCTTTCTGCTTTCCTACGTGCGCTCAGATTCGTTCTTTTCTTTAAGTCAGTCTCTAGTCCCAGGAGAGGGCCCTCGCTCCCCCCAGGTGCGGAACCCCGAGAAGTATACCTTCTGGGCAACTTGGGCGATCTTTGCCCGACTTGGTGGGTTGGGCTTTCGTGCATCTATCTCTCAATCAGGTCTGAAAGGAGGTATATCCAGTGTCAAGTACAGTGCCCATTGAATTTCTCTTAAGGAACTGAAATTTCTTTAGTAACGCATAACTGTGGAGTTTGTCATTTAGTGCAAACATTTCTACTCTGCATTGCTTTCAGTGTAGAAAACAACTGAAATCCTTTACTCTTAAAACCTCACTTTCAAACTGCCAGATTTGCTTTTTTATCCACAAATAGTTGTTTTTTTCTCTAAGTGGCCTAAAATGATGAATCTTTAGTCTCGTTTACATTATAATTCTAAAAAATAATTAGGCAATAGTTTACAGCCTGAAGTTATAATCAGCCCTATATACCAAATTCTAAAGTAATATTTGATTGTTCAAATCTCCTAAAATGCTTATCTTGTTTTTTTGGTAGATATTTCAGTACTGGAAAATAATCAGGAAAATCTTTGAATTTATTCTCATATGTGTTAATGCATTTCAGCTAACCTGCTGTATTAAATGTTTTATTGTTCCATTATTAAATAAGATCAGAAGAAGCCCATCCACTGATATCTGAAATCTGAAGCCTTGGTGATTAGAAAAATGATAATACGTTCACTCAAGAAATATTTATTAAGCATCAGCTATGTGCCAGGAGCTATTCTAGGCCTGCCTTCATGGAACTTGAAGAAAGAGGGGATATACATAAGTAAGTAAGTAGGAGGAGTCATCAGAAAGTTTGTGGAAAGATTCGTATTATCTTTTAATGCTATTTTTCCACAAACTTCTTGAAGTGCCCTAATATAGTTTCAGATAATGATAAATGTGAAGAAAATATAGCAAGATTAGGGGTTAGAGTGACTGGGATGGGGGTATCTAATTTTGATAGGGTGATCAGGTAAAACCTCTGAGGAACTGATGTTTTACCTTGAGACCTAATTAATGAGTAACATTTTTTTTTTTTTTTTTTAAAGGATGACCGGTAAGGGGATCTCAACCCTTGACTTGGTGTTGTCAGCACCACGCTCAGGCAGTGAGCGAACTGGCCATCCCTACATGGGATCCGAACCCGTGGCCTTGGTGTTATCAGCACCGCACTCTACCGAGTGAGCCACAGGCCGGCCCGATGAGTAATATTTAAAGAAGTGCTTTTCAGACAGCAGTGAGTGCAAACACAAAGATATTGAGGTGGGAGTGAATTTGACCTATTCAAGGAATACCAAGAAGGCTAGGGTGGTGGGAGATGAGATCAGAGTGGTTAACAAGGAAGTAAATAAGGTAGAACCTTATAGTCCTATCTGTAATGAGAAGCCATTAGAGGATTTTTATAAAGGGGAGTGTCATCTGATTTATGCTTTAGATGACTGGTTGCCAGGTGGAGAACAGACCACCCAAGAGAAAAGTAGGAAAGCCAGCTCATAAGGAAGCTTTTGTAATAGTCCATTTCAGATATGGTAGCTTGAATTAGAGGTGTAGAATTAGAAGTTAGTGAGAAGTGGTCTGGTTTGGAATGTAATTTGAAGCTGGGGCCAAAAGGGTCCTGCTTTCACCCTGGGACAAAAACTTCTTTTGCATAATCAACGGTTTTGCCCCAGCCATTTATGGAAATGAGAAAGACGGGAAGGAGCATCGGTTTCTGAGAGATAAATCAGGAGTTCTATATGGGACTTACTGAGTTTGATAGCTATTAGACAGCTGAGAATGTGTGGTAGGCAAGTTAGATATCCACAACTGGCATTCAGCAGAAGTCAGTAGGGAGATAATCTGAGTGTCGTATTTTATGGATGAGATTTAAACCTAAGGACTGGAGGGCATCAAGTAGAGAATGTTAATGGAGAAGAAGGCAGAAGACTGGGAGCATTCCTATCAGAAGAGAAGCAAACAGTGATGGAAGCTGAAAAGTCAGGAGGGTGTGGTATCTGGAGTACTAAGGAAGAAACTGTTTACATAAGAAGGGAATAGTCAACTGTAAAACACTGCTAAGAGTAAGAAGATTAAAAATTGACCAGTGTGACCAAGTAAAGTAGTTGAAATTTGATAAGAGGCTCTTGGGACTGGTGGACCAAAAGATCTGATCAGAGTGGGTTTAAGAAGTGGATGGTAGTTGGGGGGGGGGGTGTTACAGGATTTGCTGTGTGGCTGGGAATAATGGCAAAAGCAAAGTCCTTAATTAGGTGAGAGGGGATAGGACTCAGTGTTTAAGTGAAAGTGTCAACCTTGGATAAGGAGGATGGTTTTTATTCAACTTCCAAAAACAGGAGGGTGGACAGAGTATATGTTAATGTAGATGCAGGTAGGCTGAAGGTGGAAAGACAAGACAATTGAAGTGATTTGTCTCAGTTTATAATGTATAGAATCTATGATTAGGTACACTGTATTGGGGATATCTGCTCGTACTTTATTCTGTGTTATGTGGGGGCAACTTTGCTTAATAAAGATGGGAAGTTGAGTTACAGGCAGTTGTAGGGGAGGATGAATTTCAGACAGATTCAGTCATAAAATGGTAGAACTAGAAGAGACTTTTAGACACAATTTAGTCCAATTCCCTTATTTGGGAGATGAAGAAACAGAAATTCTGTCACTTAACCTGTCTGTGTCAAGCTAGAAATGCCTAACGGAGACTTGAAGTTCAGGTGTGGAGATGGGTTTGGGTCTACATAAGGTAGCCAATGAGATTTGTTTGACAGAGCTAGTTCTTAATTTCTTTATGGTTAGAGACACCTTGAAAATTCTGATAAAAGCTGTGGACTTTTTCGTTCCTCTTACCCTGAACTGTACATATGCACAAAAATGTACATACCAATTCAAGGGTTTGGAATTCTGCTGCCTCTTATCCATGAACTTCTAGTAGTATGGGACTGCAGATAAGAACCTGCTAGAATGTAGTCAGCAAGTTGGGACCACAGGACAAATCCGGCCCACCATCTCTTTTTGTACTGCCCAAAAGTTAAAAATGGTTTTTACATCTTTTAATGGTTGAACAAAAATTCAAAGGAAGAATATATTTCATAACATGTGAAAATTATATGAAATTCAAATTTCCATGCCCATAAATATGGTTTTGATGGAACACAATCACACTCATTTGTTTACATCTTGTCTGTGACTGCTTTCACACTCCAGGGACAGAGTTGGAATAGTTGTGACAGAGACCTTATGGCCCACTAGTCATAAAATACTTAACTCTCTGGCCCTTTACTGAAAAAGTTTGCTGACCCCTTCACTAAAATGTAAGTTCTAGGATGGTGGGGAGTTCTGTCTTTATTTTGTTCACAGATTTATCCCAAACTCATAGAACATTGCCTGGCACTTGGTAGGCCCTCGGTATATATAGGAATGAAACTCTAGTTCAGAAATAGAATCATAGTAGCTAGTGTTTTAATGTGTTTACTGTGTGCCAGGCACTATTCTAAGTGCTTATATATAAACCTATTTACTCTTTGAAACAACCCTATAATGTAAATGCCATATTACCCTTATTTTACTATTGAGGAAACTAGGCACAGTATGATTAGGAAACTCCCCACAAGGTGACATATCTAGGAATTGGCAAAGGGTGAGTTCTAAAGCAAACTGTCTTTAAGCACTACATTATGTGGAGGTATCAAGTCTTCAGGAGTGATAGGAAATAGCAAAATAATTGTTGGGTAGGAGAGATGAAACAGGACAGTGTAGCAAAGAAGGAATACATGCCTAGTGTTATTTATTAGGCATTCAAGACTCATGTCTTGATCCATGTCTCAATCTGTGTTCCTTATCCATCACTCTTCTCTTTGATAAGGCCCAAATCCCCCACTCTCACCTCTTTTCCTACTTCTCTCCTTGACACACTCCTCTGGCCATACTGGTCTCCCTTCTGTTCTTTCTCCTTCAAAAGCTCTGCCCTTAGATATCCATGACTCACTCCCTCGCTTTCTTCAGGTCTTTGTCAGATGTCAGTGAGGCCTTTCTTCACCATCCTGTATGAAATAGAAACCCCACCTTTTCTCCCTCCCCCCATTCCCTGTCTACTTTATCCTGCTTTATTTTTCCCCGTTAATACTTCTTCCATCTCGTGTATTGTTTTGGTTTTCTGTCCCCACCATTCTTCCCATGAGGTTAGAATCTTTGTTAGTTCATATCTGTGTCCCCAGTGACTTGGACAACAGCTGGCATACTAGCCCTCAGTAAATATTTGTTGGATGACTGAATTTGTAAATTGGTTTCTAACAACACTGAGTTACTTTGTCTGGATCGCCCTCTCCTTCCAATTTGATCTTGTAAAAACAACTCCATTCATAGAGTCCCAGATCAAAAGCTACTTTCCTTATATGACTGTTCACATAACCGATTTTCTGTTGCAGATTTGTTGTCTCGGATTTACTTTCTTAGTGATAACCAGCCTATTCCTCTTCTGTTAGCATCTGCATATCCAGAGAATTTGGGTTAATTTTATTATCAGTATGTCTTTTGAAAGGTTAATCAAGCAGAAAGCCATCTTGGATTGATAATATTTTTGGAGTTATCTAAACTTCAGGAGAACCATCAATAAATTTTTTCAAATT